ATACAATTCAAGAGAGTACAGAGCTTCAAAAAGGAGAGAGAGGATAACTGTCAAATGCAACAGAGGCTAAATAAAGTAAGGAATGTGTTACATATGTTGATGAAACACTTCCAACCTGATCAGCTCCCAAATTTTCATCTCTAGTGCAGGCTTTTTCCCTCTGAGTACCAAACTTGGATATCTGAGTCATTGCTGGCCATCTCTACCTTGACATCCCATACAGAAAACTTGTTTCACAATGTGCCAGGCCACTGAATGAACATATTATCTTTCTCCCAAACCTTGGCTCTCCTTTTCTTCTCTATTCTGGTAAATGGCAATACTGACTCTGGTTAACAATCTAGAAACCTAAAAGTAATTCTAGACTAATCCCATTCCCTCAGACACACAATAAATCACCATGCACTGTTTTCTTCTAAGTCCTCACAGCTCTCAAATATGTTCACTTTGATCCAATTCCTCTGTCACTACCTTGGTCCAGTCTATTACCATCATCTATCATGGAAAATTAGAATAACCTACTAACTGGGACTCAATACATGCTTGCTTCCTTATAAACTTTTATCCAAAATCAACTAGTGAAATATTTTTTCTTTTACAATTTTTAAATTAAAATTTATTTTTTATTTTCATTCAGAAAAATTCACTCTTTTGGTGTACATTTTGATGAGTTTTGACAGTAGACAGGGTCATGCAGCTAATACCACAATCAAGACAGAATGGTTCCATCATTACCTCCCAGAAAAGTTCTCTTAAGCTACCTCTTTGTAGTCAAATCTCCTACCCCACACACATAACCCCTGGCAATCAATGATCTGTTTTCCATCCATATAGTTCTTCCATTTCTAGGATGTCATAGGAATGGAATCAGTAAGTATATGTCCTTTTCAGACTGGCTTCTTCCACTCAGCATGATGTAGTTGAGATTAATTCATGTTGTTGTGTGTATCAATGGCTTATTCTTTTCATTACACTTGGGGAAATATCTAGGAATAGGATTGCTGAGTCATGTGAGAAGTATATGTTTAACTTTATTGAAAACACTGCCAAAATGTCTTTCAAAGTGGCAGTAGCATTTTGCATTTCCACCAGCACTGTATGAGGTTTCCAGTGGCTCCACATACCAGCACTTGGATTGTCAGTTTCTCTTTTTCAAAAAATTTTTGAATGTTAGTCATTCAAATAGATGTATAATGTTTTCTCATTATTGTTTATAGTACATTTCCAAAACAACTAATGATGCTTTGTATCTTTTAATGTGCTTTCATGTATATAAATATATTATATATAAAATATATAATGTTATATATTATATACATGGTCCATCATGTATCTTCTTTGGTGAAGTGTCTTTTCAAATATTTTATCCATTTTTCTAATTGGATTGTTTGATCTTATTGTTGAGTTTTGAGAGCTTTTGATATATTCTAAATACAAGTCCTTTGTCAGATATGTGATTAGCAAATCATTTCTCCCAGTCTATAGCTTGTATTTTTATTCTTTTAATAGTGTTATTTTTTAGTACAGGAAATGTTTTTAATTTATATGAAGCCAGTTTATTTTTTCTTTTATGGATCATGCTTTTGGTATCATATCTAAGAACTTTTTGCCTAACCTAAGGTCACACAAATTTTTTCCTATGTTTTTGCCTAGAATTTTATAGGTTTATGCTTTTCATTTAGGTCTATCATCCATTTTGAGCTAATATTTGTATAAAGTTTGAAGTATATGCCAATGTTCTTTTATTAAACATATGGATGTCCAATTGTTTAAGTACCACTTGTTGAAAAGGCTATTCTCCATTGAATTGCCATTGAAGTTTTGTCAAAAATCAAGTGGGCATATGTGTGGGGGTCTATTTCTAGATTCTCTATTCTTTTTCTGTTGATCTATCGGTCAGTTCCTCCACCATTATCATACACCAATATCACACTGGCTTGTTTATTGTAGCTTTATATTAAGTCTTATAAAAAGGTAGTATAAGTTCTTCAACTTTGTTCTTCCTTTCCGAAATTTTCTTTCTATTCTATTTCACATCCCTTTCCATAAATTATAGAATAAGTTTGCTGATATCTACAAAAAGACCTGCTGTGATGCTGATGGGACTGCATCCATAGATCAATTTGTAGAGAACTGATAACTTAATGATACTGATTCCTCCAATTCATGACCATAGTATATCTTCCCATTTATGTAGGTCTTCTTTTATTTCCTTCACCAGCATTTTATCGTTTTCAGTATGCAGAACCCGCACATAATTTGCTAGATTTATACCTAAGTTTTTCATATTTTGGGGCTACTGTAAATGATATTATTTTACATTATGCTAAGTGAAGTAAACTAGTCACAGAAAGACAAATATGGCATGATTTCACTTATATAAAGTATTAAAGATAGTCAAACTCATAGAAGCAGAGAATATAATGATGGCTGCCAGGGTCTGGGGACAGGGGGAAATAAAGGGTTGTTGTTTGATGGGTATAAAGTTCCATTTATGCAAGATGAATAAGTTCTAGAGATATGCTGCACAATATAGTCCTATTGTACACTTCAAAATTTGTTAAGAGGGTAGATCTCATGTTAAGTGTTCTTACCACATAGAAAAAAAAATAGAACACAAGGAAATTTTTGGAAGTGATAGATATGTTTATAATATTATCTTGATTGTGGTGATAGTTTCATGGGTATATGCATGTTCAAACTCATTAAATTGTATACACTAAACACGTGAAGTTTTTGTATATCAACATACCTCAATAAAGCTTTTAAAATGTCAGTTTCCAAATATTAATTCCTAGTATATAGAAACACAATTTCTGTATGTTGAACTTTTACTCTGTGAACTTGCACTGTGACTCTTAAATGGATTACATGTATGGGCTGTTAATATTTTAGATTTCATTGGAGTTTTCCACTTAGTGATGTTGACTGCTAATAAAGACAATTTTATTTCTTCCTTTCCAATGTGTATGCATTTTAATTTTTCTCTTCCCTTACTGTACTTATTAGGATTTCAACTATGATATTGAATAGTAGTGTTGAAAGCAGATATCCTTGCCTTGTTTTCAGTTTAGAGGGAAAACATTTGATCTTTCACCATCAGATATGATGTTATCTTTATGATTTTTATAGATGCCCTTTATTAGGTTCTGGGAGTTACTTTTATTCCTGGTTTGTGGAGAGAAGTTTTGTTTTGTTTTGTTTTATCATAAATGGGTATTGGATTTTGTCAAATACTGTTTCTGCTGCATCAACTGACATGATTGTGTGGTTTTCTTCTTTAGTATATTGACTGATTTTTGAATATTGAACCATCCTTGTATTTCCAGAATAAACCTCACTTAGTCATGATGCAGTATCCTTTTTATATATTGTTAGATTGAATTTGCTAATATTTTGATGAGAACTTGTACATTTATGTTCACACAGGATACTGGTCTGTAGTTTTCCTTTATTGTAATGCCTCTGTCTAGTTTTGGTAATCAGGTAAATGCTGACCATAAAATATGTTTGGAAGTATTTCCACCTCTCCTATTTTCTGAAGAGTTTGTGTGATGGAATGAGTATTATTTTCCTGTTAAATGTTTGGGAGAATTCACCAATGAGATCATCTGGACTAGAAGTTTTCTTTTGTGGAAGCTTTTTAATTATGAATTCAATTTATTTAATAGAAATGTAACTTTTTAGGTTGCCTTTTTATTTTGAGACAGAGTCTTGCTCTGTCACCTCAGTTAGAGTGCCATGGCATCATCATAGCTCAATGCAACCTGAAGCTCCTGAGCTCAAGCAATGCTCCTGCCTCAGCCTCCTGAGTACCTGTGATTATAGGTGCTTGCTACTGTGCCTGGCATAGGGACGAGTCTCATTCTTAGGCTGATCTTGAACCCCTGAGCTCAAGCAATCCTCCTGCTCCGGCCTCCCAGAGTGCTAGGATTGACAGCCATGATCCACAATGCCCAGCCTGTCTATTTCTTCTTCTTAAGAGATTTTGTTAGTTTGTATCTTTCAGGGAATTCGTCCATTTTATATAAGCTGTCATATATGGGGATAGAGTTGTCCTTGTTATTAATTATTCCTTTAATGTCTATAGCATCTGTAATGAGAGCTTTTATTCCAGATATTGGTAATTTGTGTCTTCTCTCTATTTTGCTGGGTCAATATGGTTGGAGGTTTATCAATTTTATTGATTTCTATAAAGAAATAGCTTTTTGTTTCATTAATTTCCTTAATAATTTTGTTTTCAATTTCATTGATTTTTGTTCCTTAGTATTTCCTTACTTCAGTATTCTGCTTGCTGTGATTTACTTTGCTATAATATTTCTGGTTTCATAGGTAGAAATTTATATCATCAAGATTTTCCTTTCTTGGTAATATAAGCATTATATATTATAAAATCCCCCATTCCAAAGCACCAGGGGTAAACCACTTCCACTTCCCTGCCCTGAGCAGCCAAAGGTTCCATCTCAAATTTCCTTGACAAGAAAGTGGCTTGATCAGTGTTGGGTTTGTTGCCTCCAAACACCATTATTTCAGCCTTTGGGGGTGTTATCATTGACCTTTATTAGGGTGAGATTTTTGGTCCATTTCAGGATCTTTAGTTGCATACAACATAGGGCAGGATGCAAGGAACACCACTCTGAGGAAGCTGGCATAGAGGTGATATATTTGCCTGCCTTTTTAGAGGCACTGTAAGCCCACATACCTTACCCCATTCTAGGTTCTGGTGATCTAAACCCTGATGTTGCTGCTCCACTCCAGCCCCCTGGAAACACATTAAAAAACACCAGGCTTTTTCCTCCTTACTGGTGAAATAGTGTTGAGAAGGAAGTTTGTGTCCAGTGCTCAGCCCTGCCCCAGGGTTTATCCTCCGTGTCTAGCTCTCTGTGGACCAGCTGGTCTGATTCCCAACCCCACAGGACCCACCCCCTCGCTTCCCACACACCCTCCTCTTCCCTCCTTCCTCCCTCCCCACCGTCACAGAACACGCAGGGACACACACATCATTTCACAAGTGGTTGGTTTTATTTTCATCTCCACGGTGTACCCAGTTAGTGAAAAATTCCTTGTCCACACGGTTTGCCATGTCCCAGCAGCCAGACCTCCGGAGACTTCGCAGATAGGTCTGAGGTCGTTGGCCTCACTCCGAAGTTACTGGCTGCTGAGGGTGACACTTGAGGTGGTGGAGCTCCCCCCGCTCTCTGGGGCCTGCTCTGGCTCATTTTGACTGAGCTCCTCGTTCAGCCGGTGATAATGGCCGAATAGAGTCAGCCCTCTTCTCTTCTTAGGTTTAATTGAAGGGGTGGTCATTTTGGGAGAAGCCTTTCTCCTCAAAGTCCCTCGAAGGGGTCCTTTTGCCTTCCTGGTTACCTTGGGCACCTGCAAGGACAACAGGGAGATCACAGAAGAGCAATGGTTTGGGGGAAGAGGGTGGAGGGGGTGGGAGCATGGGAAGGGGTGCGGACTGAGGGGGGTTTGTGCCAGATGAGGGCAGGGAAGGAGTCTGGGGGAGAGGACTCGACGGGAAGGCGGGGATGAGCTTGGGTGGGTCGCTTGCCTTGAAGCTGCCTCTGGACCTGGGTTGACGAGGGGCCTTCCTCTTCCTCCCCCCTTTCCCTGCTTTGACATTTGCAGTTGGTTGTTCAGTGACAGTGCTGGAGGCCTGTTGTTTTCTGGTCATCTTCGCCATGTCAGTGCTTCCCAGTGGTCTACCCAGGCCTCTTGACCTCCCTATATATACCCTCCCCAGAGCTAGGGCCAGGCCACACCCCTGAGCTTTGTTTGGTCACCAAGCCATTCCCCAGCCAATGGGAGCCCTGGGGGAAGGGGCTCTGACATCACAAGGCACCAACCCGACATCAGGGTGAGGGGAGGGGCGATGCTGGGGAGGCCAAGACACCCTTGTGAGAGAAAAGGAAGATATCCTTAGCAACCCTAAAGAGCTTTCCCACACTGACAATACCACCCTCATCTCCCCATGTCAGTTCTGATGGGTCACATGGTAGGGAGAAGGTGTCTCCTCCAAGCCTTTCCTCATGGCCATCTCATTCAGTGGTTCATTCTGTTCTCCACCATCCACTGTTGCTTAGTGTTTGTTATGTCTTACCTATAGTCCACCCTTGGTAATGTGGACACATTAATACTTAAATCTCTGTGGAGATGTGAATCATCTACTTCCCTGCCGGAGCCAGCCGGCGACGTGCGGCACCTGGAGTTAGGGGGCGAGGCTGAGAAATGAAGAGACAACAAAAAGATGGGGACGGGAGGACGGAGTCCTTGCTGACTGCCGCACCTCGTTTATTTCAGTTGCTGTATTTATACAGATAAGAACAAAGGAGAAGCAAAATGCATTGGAACAGGTGGTGCATGTCTTCATTAAACCAGAAAACAAAACAGTTCTTGTTTCTTTTAAGCTTACGTCACTTTGATAGTCCTTTCCCTCGCTTAAGCAGTTTTCTAATCTACAACTTAACTTTTTTCTGATATCAAAAAAGCTACAAATACTCAACTATGATCACTCAGCTCAAGGAAAGAGCACCCAAGCATAATTAACAATTCTGAGAAAGGAGTGTGCAGGGCCTAGGGGGGGCTATAAGCTACGAGGGCTGTGTGCACAGGATTACTTCAGTGACCTTCCATAACTGCTACTGTTATCTCCAGCACCCTCTGTGAGCTAGAAGAAAGGCCAAGAATGTCAGAGCTATGAGTTAAGGCGCCAGGTGCTGTGTCTCAAGGACCCCAGTGTTCCGGGCAGCAACCGCACTTTAACTCTCCCGTGTTCGAGACAGCTCCCAACACTTCCCTCCTACAAATTCCTCTACATATCCTGAAGACCATACATGTCTTGGCTTACTACCAAGGATCTTTTCCATCCTACTTCCTTTTTCTAGTGTCCACATAGCTCTCCTTAGTTTTCTGTTTTCCAATCTCAAAGCACTGCCTTCAGGCTGTGAAGACTTCGTTAATAGACTTGCTCTTCTGGGTCTACTAGTCTTATTTCAGTTCTGCTTATCTCAATAGGTCTAGTACACAGGTTTGAGTTTTAATAGTGTAAGGGGGTTGAGGCAGATATATACATGCTGCAAGTTGTGCTGGGTGTTTTCATGCAAAAAACCACAACCTACAACTAATGAACATACCCTAGGAAGGAGACTGACTTAACCAGAGGCACATGTGCCTTATGAGAAAAGCTCTTCACAAACTCTGTCTTCATACACCAGACACTTTTCTTACCTTATTTTACTGCTCACACTGTTAGCATTCTACTTCTCCCCCTTCTCCTGAGGCCTTCTGAAGAAATATACCTTACCTTACAAGACAGACATGGATGAAATTCTTTTTTATGAATAGCTGAACAGCTACAACAACATTCCACCTTCTTGGAGGAGATACTTTGTGATCAGTTTCTGTCCATTTATTTCCCTAGGTAGAGGGTCTCTCTTTCAGGTTTTTGTCCCTGGAAGAAAGGGATGATAGAGTTAGTCACAAACCACAGTAGCTATGAAAATATCCAACAAAGTAGATTTCAGAGGAAAGAACATTATCAAGGACAAAGAAGTCACTTCATAATAATAAAGTTGTCAATTAATCAAGGGAAAAAAAATCCTAAACTTTCAAGCTCCTAATAGCAGAGCTTTAAAGTATATTTAAACAAAAACTGATAGAACTGCAAGGAAAAATAGACAATTCCACAATCAGTCAGATTTCAACACCCTTCTCTCAATAAGTAAAAAAACAAGTAGACAGAAAATCAGTAAAAAACAGAAAATTTGAACTACACTATCAATTAAATTTACCTAATTTACATTTACAGAATTATCCCAAACACATCAGAATTCACATTCTTTTCAAGTACATATGAGATATTTATCAAGATAGATAATATTTTGGGTCATAAATCAAGTCCTAATAAATTTAGAAAGACTAAAGTCATGCAGAGTTTGTTCTCTGACCATAATAGAATTAAATTTGAAATCAACAAGGGAAATTTCTCTGGAAAGCCCCCAAATAGGTAGAAATTAAACAATACATTCCTAAATAACTTATGGGACAAAGAAGAAATCAAAATGAAATTAGAATATATTTTAAACAAAATAAAAATGAAAATACAATATAGAATTTATGATGCCACTAAAACAGTACTCAGAGAAATTTATATTACCAAATGCCTATATTTGAAAAGAAGAAATACCCCAAATGAATAACCTTAGCTTTTCCCTTAAGAAGCTAGAAAAGGAAGAACACATTAAACCCAAAGAAAGTGGATAAAAGAAATAAAGATCAAGGGGTTGGATCAAGATAGCGGAGGAGAAACACCACCAGAAAGAGTATCTATGCAGAAAAGATAGATTCTAGCAGAAATTAGAAAAAAGAAGCAAGAAGACAAGCATACAGTGGACGAAGGCCAGAAGGAGGGGTACCTGAGACCCCGGGAGACTCCACGGGAGGAGGCTGCGGAGGAGAACTGATAGCTGAGACCACCGGAGCAGCCCGGAGACCAGAGGGAAGGGTAGGTGGTTTAGTCACTTTTCCCCTCCCCTGCATCTGGGACTGCTGGTGGGCTACCCAGCGGGAGGAGAGACCTGTGGACACCAGCCCAGAGATGGCCACCCGTGAGTGGTAAGCCTGTAGCGGACGCAGCACCAGGCTACCAACTCCCTTGGGGCACCTCCGTGTGCACAGACCCGAGCCACGCGGCAGGTGCCATATTGCCTCCTTCTCTCCTTCGCCGACCCTACCCGCGGCTGCCCAGGGAGACAATACAGCCACCAGCCAGAGGCACCTCCAGGGAATGGGACCTTCCCTTTTGGGACCCTACAGCTGACTAAGGGGAACTCAGACCATGAGCTCCGTACCCGCCAGCCTCCCAGGTGCGGCTGGCACGGTGATCCAAGGAGAATGGGGCAGACCCTGAGGCTGAGAGACATAGACCCAGCCTGGGCTCCCTGTGGGTGAATTGGGACTGGCACGCCTCTCCCTGATGGGGATATAGTTTTAACTCTGGGACCTAGGGGTCAGACCTGCAGACCAGATCCCATGCACCAGGTCTCGCATTGCCCGGGACACAGAAGGGGTATATATGAACAGCCTACTGAGGTGTGTGCCTTCAGGGGCAGATAAGCATCCTAGAGGACAACCCTCCTCCCAAAAGGAGGCCGTACACCAGCCCAGGTGTTGTTCCTGCACAGGGAACCTCCCCACCAGCATCACAGTCCGGGGAGGCCTGGTGGCGTGTGGTTTGGCCTGCTGGCAGAGGCCCAGGAGTAGTTGCAAAGTAGGGGACGGTGGAAAGAAGCCAGGCCTGCTCCAGACTGTGGGTCTCAGACAGCCCCACCCCCACACACAGACTTTATGGCTGAGCAGGGCCATTCCAGACCCTCCCTGACAGCTTTTCCTGGAAGCAGAGAACAGAACTTTGACCCCTGCTAACGGCATTGGTGGTGCCTGAGAGCAGGCTTACCCTACCCAGCTCCGCCCAGACTCTGTCCAAGACCAGCCCTCACTGAGGGGGAGAAAAGGACACACCTGGAAGTCCCAGGGCCCCACCGACCACCTGAGGCACTAGAGTGCCTCCCCACAGGAACAAGAGCTGATAACAGGACACAAAAACAACAATGTAGCCAGTTCCTCCAAACAAGCACCATCTACTGACAGGGAGGACATCCTGCACAGCCTTTTCACAGGACCTACTGATTCATTAAACAGGAAGAGGTCGAGTCTGGCCCACAGACACCACCTACCAGCTCAGAAACAAAACAAGGCGTGGGAATGCTCAAACAAAAACATAAAGAAAAGAAAGAACTGATGGACATGGGAAGAAATCAGTGAAGGAACTCCAGAAATAGGAAGAACCAAACGGAAAACACACCACCAAAGAGGAGAACCAGCCCCCTAAAAACAGACAACAACCAAAATCAGGCAACCAAAATGACAGAAGAGGAATTTCGTATATGGATCATAAGAACACTCACCGAGCTGCAACAACAACTCAATAACCAACACAAAGAAACCACAAAAAGCCTCCAGGACCTAGAACAAAGTTCACTAAAGAAAAAAACACAATGAAGAAAAGTTTAACCAAAATACTGGAAATCAAGAATCAATTTAGGGAATTACAAAATACAGTGGAAAGTCTCAAGAATAGAGTAGATCAAACAGAAGAAAGAATCTCAGAGATTGAAGATAACACCCTCCAACTAAATAAAACCGTCACAGAGATAGAGCAGAGAAACAAGAGAAAAGAGCAAAGCCTACAAGAGATGTGGGATTATGTGAAGAAACCTAATGTGAGGGTCATAGGGTTACCAGAAGGGGAAGAAGACAACACTCAAGGGTTGGACAAGCTATTTGGAGATATAATAGAGGAAAAATTTCTAGGCCTTGCTCAAAATCTCGATATAGAAGTTAAAGAAGCTCAGTTGACCCCTAGGAGATTCAATGCAAACAGGAAGACATCACGACATGCAGTCATCAGACTGACCAAAATATCAACTAAAGAGGCCCTTCTAACAGCTATAAGACGAAAGAAACAGGTAACATACAAAGGAAAGGCAATTCGAATAATACCAGACTTCTCTAATGAGACTTTACAAGCAAGAAGAGACTGAAGCCCCATTCTCACTCTTCTGAAACAAAACAATGCCCACCCTAGAATGTTATTCCCTGCAAAACTAAGCTTCCTATATGAAGGAGAAATAAAGACATTCTCAGACAAGCAAAGGCTCAGAGAATTCACCAAGACAAGACCAGCCCTACAAGAAGTACTCAAAACAGTGTTACGCACGGAACACCATAATAAAAACTCAGGAATATAAGAACAACCAAAACCCAAAGATTAAAGGCCAGATATTACAATGCATCAAGAGAAAAATCAAAGCAACATCATCCAACCCAACAGAATTAACAGTAGTCGACCTTACCTATCAGTTCTCTCCATAAATGTGAATGGCTTAAACTCTCTACTCAAGAGACATAGGCTGGCTGAATGGATAAGAAAATACAGGCCAAGTATATGCTGTCTTCAGGAAACACATCTAATCGTAAGGATAAATATAGACTAAAAGTAAAAGGGTGAGATCCGTATTCCAAGACATGGGAGCCAAAAGAAGCTGGTGGGCAGTTCTTTTCAGCATTTAGTTTTTAAAGCACCAAAAGTATGAAGACAAAGGGTCTTATATATGGTGAAGGGCACGTTCAACTAGAAGATAACAAGTTTAAATATATATGCACCCAACTTAGTGCACCCGACATTATAAAGAACCTTACTGGATCTAGAACA